AATTATGAATAGGAGGATTAAAGGGAAACGTCACTTCACTTTTCACTGCAAGAACTAGAAGAAAAAGTCTATAACATATGCAACTTGAAAGGCTTCCATCATGATCTTAAAACAGTTAATTCAACTGGATCTCATGCATGCATTACCCCTAGATAGATTTCCCTCATTAACTTAAATAACAGCAGACATAAATCTTGACATAATCTTCTCCCTGAACTTTACTGTCCGTAAAGCATATGGAGTCTTCTTTGCCAGTGAGAAACCCAGTCATTTTTACACTCCTGGTGTGGAGCCAGGTTTTTGTATCAGTGTGGCTGGCAGGATGAATCAGCAAAATAACTCCACTTCTCTGACTTTTATTGAATCCTATCAGATCACCAAGTTTTTAAAGGCCACATGAAAGGTTCACAAACTAAGCTGTAAATTTATAATTGAAGATAAACAGACTGTCAGTCACTATCTGTGACAAACCCATTCTTGGGTACCAATGTGAAAATGACACGATGAACATCATCAAGATCTAATAGTCCCTCTCCTGGCATTCATACACCTGAATCAGGGGTACAAGAAGGGCTACAGCCAAAACATCAATTTCCTATTGTATAACCTTTCACTGAGCTGTGTGCCTGCACATGTAACTCATTTATCATTTCCTTGCCATGTTATTTGTGGCAAGAAGCAAAGTTTTCTCAGTTGGAAGAGGGAAGCAATTCTGCCTTCAACATGAGTGAAGAAAAGTTGAAGCATTTACTATAGTCATCAGCTAGTTGTGCTGTGGGGAAGTCAAGAAGCAACAAATAAAAACATTTAGGAATATGTGAAGAGCAATGAAAAGGCTGGAAAAAAACAAGTCCAGAAAAAAAGTAAATTTAAAAGGCTCAGAGGCACTATCTGGAAAAGACTAAGAAAATATTCAAAGCAAAAGAGGATTTCAGTAATATGTTATACTTGGAAGTCAGCCAGAAGCCAGTCAGCAAGCAAAAACAGGGACTGACAGACACTCACTGGGGACAGCCTTTCATTATCAGTTCCAATGGATTACCTTTCTTACTTATTGGATAGCCAATCTTAATTTTCCACAGGTTTAACTGTAGGAATCCTGAGGACATCTGAATTCCCTTAATCTATGGCATCCTCTAGATATATTTCTAAAATTTTAAGACTCCAGACAGTGATTGAGATGCCTGAGTATTATTACCATCTCATGGGAAAGACTGTCATGATCCTGTTACCTCATATAAATAGACAGATGTATGGGCAGACATTTATATCAGTTGTAGTTTTCCTTCCACATCCCCACAGACCACCTTTTAAGAAAACTGTAAATGATATAGAGTCAACAGATAGGCAGATTTGTAAAGAAAACAAATTAGACAAATCTTTTGTTCATCTCTTCCTCAGCTCAAGGATGCTCACATCATCACTGCTCTAGGTAAAACATGTAGACAAGATAATTTTTAATTTAGTTTATACCCCAAGCCCTCTGGGCACATGGAAAATAAACAGTAATAAATTAGGATTTCTCTTCTCAATAAAACACAGACACACAACAAATCACAGGAGGAAAGTTCCTTTGCAAAAATTGGAAAGTTAATAGGTTTTCTCAATGTCCTGCCTGAAAATTAATCTTTCACTTAATCAAACCCTTATGGATAAATAATACTTTTCCTGTCAACAGGATTAGATTTAATAGGATTTCTTATCTGGAAATGGCAATCTGAAAAATTTAGTTGCTTTTTTGCTATTTTTATTTTTATTGTAACTTAAATTTTTTTGTGTGTGCTGCATCATCTCTTGGACCTACACTCAGGCCAGACCTTTTAAGCAATTTTGGCAGGTATAACCTACATTATCCTGAAGCCAGAATGTTTTTGCTGGTATAGAGCAGAATCAGTGAGGGATCTCTCAGGAGGAATCAGACAAGTTGGACATGTCCTCTCAGTTGAGCAGTTGGCCTTTCAGAGCACAGCTTAAGACTCAAGTCCTTAAATTCTACCTGGTTTAGGTGGAAGTCCTTTGTTTCAGCTGGTCCTTGCTAACAAAAAAAAGTACATTACCCTCTCTAGCTGCTCACTCCCTGTTGCAATACTTGATGAGTATTGCAAACTTACGAGCATTAGAAACTCTTTCAAGTTTGGTATTCACCATTCTTGCATGGCTTGAAAAGGCTTGTTTCTTTTCCTCCTGTTCAACTTTCTGTAGGTCAAACTCTGCCTTCATCTGCTTTGTCACAGATTTTCTGCATCTCCAAATGTGCTTTATGAGGTTTCATGAGGTTGAAAGAGGAAAGCTAAATTTGATTTTTCAGATACATGGAGAATTCACCCCATTATATTTTTGAAGTTGGGATAATCAGCAGTGGTTTTACTCAAAGGATATAGTTCTGAATGAAACTATACCGTATGCTTACATGATAAAAATACTTATATATAAATGTCATCTGTGTACATGTAAAATGTTAAAAGGATTCCATTCAAGACATAATTTTAGACTACAAAATGTTTGTCAAATTGCTCGCTATACTCCTTAAATATTGAAAATAAAGGGATCAGGAACAAAAAGCATGAGCATGACATTGATTCAAATCATTATTCTCCTAACATTTTTCTCTTTATGTTATGAATAAAGTATAGATAGATAGATATAGATAAAATACATTATAGATATGATAAAAGGTATAGATATGATAAAAGAGAAAAAAAATAAAATCAACAAGAGTAGCTAACTGGAATACTACTAACCCTATCCAATAAAATACATTGCAACACCATCTCAGTAGATATTCGTTTTCCACAAGCAGTTTATAGAAAAGGCACCAGTTTCTAAAGGGAAACAAAGGGACAGAACTGTAAGTCAGGAACAGATTACTGCTAATAACAATGATGGAGGAAATACAGTAAAACCCCCACTAAAAAATCTTTCTATATTAGTTTTCTTGGCTATAATTATTTGTTGTCATACTCACAAAGTTCCCAACCAGAAAAAGAACAGATTGAAAACTTTAGCTTTGGTTTCATGGTAGACTCTTACAACTTCAGATAAATATTGCAGAATTGAACTTAAAACATTTATTCTATTTTTCAGAATTCCTCAGACTTTTCCAGATATTTTGTCCTGCACAGACAGTGACAAGCAGTCTTCAGATATGAACTCACATATAATTTCCTCTGCATCCCCATCTCATTAAGTATACAGTGGGTGGATTATAAATCAGCACAAAGTTTACAAATGTAATTTAATATTCCTCAAATTTTATCTGTTTGGTACAATAACCAAAGCAGCATTCTTTCAAATACCTCATACATATGTATCATAATTCATATTTTCCAGTAAATATTCATCTTGAAATAAATGGATTTTTTCCATTTTTTTATGAACATTCTACTTAATTTTCTCCACATTTACAGATAATATGGTTTTTATTTTTCAGTACTTTTCAATCACCTGTTGAATTATTACAATTACAATACTTCATATTTCACATACAATCATGGAATTCTCTATTTCTTTTTTAAAAAGCACTTGGAATGGTTTACAGAAACTTCTGAAAATACCTATCATAGGAAAAAATAAGCTAAATATGAATTAAAGTGAAAAATACAAAAAAGTAATAATAAAAAAAAATCTCAGCTTTTATCAGCTCACCTAGATTGTGGCTTCAGGGGAAATATCTTTTTTAATTGCAGTTCAGAAGACAAGTTCTTCACAACAGAATAGAAAGAAACTCTGAATCAAGCAATTATCTAAATTTCTGTAGCAGGCCAGCATTTGATTTTGTCTTTTATTTCTCCAAGATTAACTGAAGAATCTTTAAAAAAGAAGCTTTCTGAATTAAACATTAAAATGCATGACAGTACAAACTGTATGCAGCAATTCACTCACTTTAATATATAATTCAGCACCAGAACTACATTGCTAACTTAGTTCATTCTGCCACATAAATTTCCATTCACTGTGGCATTTATCTTGGACTATACTTCACTTCTCTGCAGCACTCATCCAAATGCAAGAGAAAGTCACAAAATCCCTGTGCTAGGCAGTGTATTGAGTTTGTGCCACAAGAGCAGGAATTATCTGCAATTTATTTATTCCTGTGTTGTGAGAGTTAGTGAGAGGACTGCTCATGTGGATCTCCGCTGAGGAGACAGCAGAGTAAGACCATGGAGGTTTGGAATGAAATATTTTATATGGCACACATCTCCTCTGTGCTTGAGCAAACCATCTATTTCCCTTTGTCTTGATTCCACTCTCTAAACATCAGGGTAAGCCGTCCCTAGTTTAGTTTCTTTCAATACTACAAGGATACAGTGCCACTGTGAGCTGTTCCAGGCAAAATATTTGCCATCTCCTTTGCTCTACTTTTTTATTCCAAAGCCCTTGGCAAGTACCTAGTTTCAAACATCTAGTGTAAACTTGAAAAAATTACAGGAGGATGTGAGCTGATGGGATTAATATATGGGAGGCACCATGTTCTTTTATTTCTTCTTATTCTTGGGAACCAAACCCCTAGCTATCTATTCTCTTCCTCCCCTTTCCTTTTCTTTCTCTTCCTTTCCTTCTTCCTCTATCACCTAAAACTCTTCAGGAAAGCCAATTTCCAAGACTTCTTGTTTATATTTGTATTAGGTTGGGTCAGACAACCTTCGCCTGTGCTCTCAGGTGCAGCTCAAAGCATCCTGCAGATCTCTGCCAGCTTGCCAGGCCCAGGGCAGGGAGCCTTGCAGCTGCCTCGGCACCACTCCACACTTGTGTTAATTAACCCAGGCACACACTGATGAAGCTGTAATGCTTTCAGAGCCTGACAAGCATCTCTTTTCCGCTGTGTAGTTAGAGCTGTTACAGTCTGCTACTCCTCATTGTCACAAATATCTTTGCATTATACTTTATAATGCTTTCATTGATTAGCTGCTACATGAACCACTTGGTTTTATCTTTTTTTTTGTAATATCAGTCTTCCTATCTTTTCTGACTTCACCATTACATTTTTCTTCTCTTTTATGAGTTACCCACAGTCTTCCTTCTTTCTCTAGTTTTGGTATCTCTTCTATTGACACCTCACTCTTTTTTCTCCTTTCAGCATTTTAAAGATTGATTAATTTATTTTATTATTACTAATTTTAACCTTCTCTACACACTGGCCTTTTTGAGGAAAAGGCTGAGTACGGAAGCACAACTGACAAAAGTAACAGTGTTTTCCAAAAGGAAGTCAGCACTTGAGATCTATAGTGCCATTAACCACTACAACACATATGAGTTGACAGCAACCTTTCTTTTTCTCATTATATATTTATGGAACTCAGTTTCTACTTTCCTGGACAGTGAGTTTTAAGGTGAGAGGAAGAGAGGAAGTCCTAACACTAGACCTGCTGCCTTCCATAATTTGAAGTATTTGAAGGCTGAGAAGACAAAAGATTCCAATTCCCTGCTGCTTTATAGTACTTCTCATAGACAGAGAGAAGGCTGCTGGCAGCTTCCTGTGTTTGCACCAGCTCTTGGCAGTTCTCTGCTCCCACGGAGTGTTAGTTGCATGTATCACTCTCCACACGCTCTCTGATGATGGAAGAGCACTGCAAAAAGCACAGCAAAGAAAGCTGTCTCTAAGGGCCTCTTACATCCAACAGCTAAAGGACTGTCTGCAGCTCCTTTTATGGCTGTTGAATTAAGAATTACAGAGAAATTCTTAATCTATCCTAGCAATTTCCATTCTACTTTTGCTTTACCCCTACCAGTCTTTCTCTGCATGGTGCATGCACCACAAATGTAGCAAATCAACAATTTCTTCTTTATCTGCACAGGTATTTGTAATAGAAATGTTAAAATTGCTAGGAAAGGAGAGTGCATGGGTGTGGAGGCCCCACAAGGAACAAGAAGAGAAAAGGATATAAGGATGACAAGTCTGGATTGCACAGCCCATCATGAAGATCCCAGAACCTCTATCTACACATGATTTCTCAATAACACCCAGAGTGGGAAAACAAAGGACACTCTAAAAGAAAGGATAGACCATAGCCATTGAGGAGAGGATGGCAGGAGACACAAAGAGAAAAAAGGGTTTGTCAGCAGTGCTGTGTAAAGATTCTCGGGTCAAACACAATGAAGACGCACCATCCACAATTTACATCCAGAAACCTGTCCATGGCTGCCAAACATGCTAACCAAATGTTTCTTTTCTTTTCCTCCTTCTCCAGCCTACTCCACAGAGAAGGAGGGCAGTCACCTCCATAGAGACTGCCTGGCCCAATGTGTTCACCATCTTAAACACATGAAAAAGATATTTTAAGGAAAGCAATCGATGAAGACACAAATCCAGAGACAGCAATTTAAACCGAAACACTTCCACAGGCACTGGCACTTCCCAAATCTTAGTCCCCTTGGAGCAGATACAAAAGATACAATAGGATGTCTGAAGGAAAGCTAACCAAAACTTTGTCTACAAAAGGTTGTAATGTTAACTGGAACAGCACAATGAGAAATAAGTCCAACTCTGAATATGGCTAAAACAGTCTCAACTACGAATACTTAAAGAAAAGACTTCTACCAGGCATTTATAGAGTGTCTGTAAAAGTCAGGAATCAGTCAACCATTTACACAAATACGCTACAATGTCAGGAAAGCAAAGATGGCTGGCCAATAACTTCTGGCACAGCTCTTACACTGCAGTGAAAATAATTTCCAAATGGTTGTTTACATGTTTACACATCATTCTTCTGTGCAAATGTTTTGTGGGATATTTTTTTTCCTTAATCAACTCCTGTGGCAGACTTCAATAATTCAGGCTGAAAGACAGGTTCAAACTCCAGCAAAGGTCTGAATGCAATATTTTTAACAAATTTCAGCAAGTGCTCTAAACTAATGGTGAACCTATATTTAATGACAAACCTATCCAGTAATTAACTCCTGTTTTTCAGTTTAGGCAAAATCTTTTATGTGATGCACTGGTGCTGACTGGATGCCTTGTTGCAGACTCAGTCTGTTTCACAGATACCATTGCAACTCTGGTTGCAATTGTTCACTTCTCAGAAAACTTCCCTGAAAATGGGTTGCAAATAACAGAATTTGGAGAGCAGGGCAGGGGTGGGTAGGTGTATTTTTAGATTTGCAGTTAAGTAAACTCTTTCACCACAGTGCAAGATTTTGATGGAACTAAAGAAAACATGGATCACAAAATGCTGTGAGAATGCCTGGGTATTGTAGTAGCCTCCTGAAAAATGCCTGTAAACATATATCCCCCAAAAGACCAATTATTAGGCGCCTTCAGAATCAAAATTAGTTCTCTCATATCTTTGGCCAACACATTAGCTGCTTTGGAGGTTAGAACCAAGACCCAAAATTAACATCAGAAACTTGAAATCAATGACAAATAAAAGAAAATTAAAATTATAAAGATAGCATTATAGAGAAATATGTAGAACAATTATGGATTAAGAAGGTCTTAAAGACTTGAGCATTTATCAATCCTCTAAAGATGTGGTAATAGAGAAATGAAGTCTGAAAAGGACATACAGTCATCAGTAACAGAATTATGTAAAGTGGAGGAAAATTTCAAAGTACAGAGATCTTATAATTAGATATGGGAAACTAGAATTCAGCTTCCTAAATTACTTCTATGAGATGAGAAAATAATAAAAAAAAACAACACTAAAGACATGAAGCAAACTATTAGTCAAACATTTAGATGAGTATAGTAACAAATTACTTCCCCAATACCATGGAGAAGATGGTGCTTCTTGCACCTCTCCAGGTTAAAACCAGTGTGCTTTTTCCGAAGTTTTTGCAACTAGTACCACCAAATAAATATCAAAAAACAATCGTTCACCACCACCACCACCACTTCCATCCTCAGTTCCCAAGGATGGCACTACTAACGTGAGTAGTCCATAGAGAAAGCTTCATTACATGTATATTTTTAAGGGTAAGAAGTGTCCTACTCTACAACACCCTTTGGGCAGGGCCCTGACAGTCTGTTGAGGCAGTGGGTGACAAAGTGCTGCAGGGCAAAAAGAGAAGTTGCTAAACAGAACCCAGTCCCCCACGACATTTAGTACAAGTAAGTTTTACATCCCATTGGGGTCTCCCTCTTTCTATAACAACACAGAGCGTGTATTTCTGACAAAAACATTTACAACACAATTGGAAAAGGGCTTCCATCAGCTATGTAAGGCAGGAGTGTAGCTCCATTATTAAGCACCTTACCTCAATCTACTAGTGAGCAATTTGCAGCTGTGGGACTGCACACATGGGTGCTTCAGACCATGCTGGGATATTTACCCTGGCTCACTAGGTATGCAGTTTTAAAGAGGTGTTGAGGGTTAGGTGTCCTTTTTTTTTGTTTTGTCCTTCTGGCCTGCCCGGGGAATTTTTACCCATTATGTGCTGGGACAACCTAACTACCGGTACATAGGGGTGCTCACAACGGACAGTGAGTGGCCGGGCCCAGGGGGGGAAGGGGGCAGAAAAGGAGGGTGGGGACAGTTTTTGGGCTGGTTTTTCTTCGGTTTCGGGGAAGGACGTTCGTGTGCTGGGTCACGGAGCTGCTGCTGTGGAGAGAAGGGAATTTCACCATCACCCAGACGGAGCGGCTGCTTCTTCTCCTTCTCCCCTCTGTTGGTGGCCTCGCACCCCCTGTCCTGCCGGGACGTGTGGCAGTGCCAGCCACTGTCTCAGAGCTGCTGATCCACCTCAGCCACCGGCCCAGGATCTCAGCTCATCCCTGCTGTTCCAAGCGTTCCTCAGAGCCCTGCAGGAGCACCGGGACTGACTGCCCGAGGGGTTTGTGAAAACAAAGCCTCTCCTCCATCCCATCTCAGCCGAGAAGGCTGTCCCGGGGTCCCTGTTTCTGTTTTCTTGTTATTGCTGTAGTTATTGTTTGTTTGTTTGCCTGGTTATACTAGTAAAGAACTGTTATTCCTATCTCCAGATCTCTGCCTGAAAGCCCCCTTGATTTCAAATTTATAATAATTTGGAGGGAGGGGGTCTACATTCTTTCATCCCAAGGGAGGCTCCTGCTCTCCCTAGCAGACACCTGTCTTCTAGAACCAAGACAAGAGGAAAATATCCTTAATCCCATTTGCAATAAAGTGTTCCCAAGAGACAAGTTATGGTTGAAATGTTGACTGATGGCCCAAATCCTAGGGTTTTGGGATAATTTGGAGAGTACTGCTTTTGAAGAACTCAAAGAAGAGAAGGTTTTCCCTTTTTTCTCCTGAAGCTCATGAGTCAAATGGAAGTAGAAGATATATGAACTGAACTGAGTTCTCATTGATTTATACCTCACAATTGATCCTAAAATGTGGATATGTCCAGGTGGATTTGGCAGCCTCAGGCTGAAATAGTATGAATTATCTGGAAAGAACATTTTGAAAAATATTGGTTAACAAGACCTTCAAATGAGTTTTCTTATTCTGTCTCTGTAAAAACAGCGACAATATTTAAAAGTCAAAATGGTAAAGTAATATAAAATACAAATACGCAAGCAGTCATAGCCTGTATCATTAATATGAAAACTGCCCAATATCTCTAAGTTTCTTCTTCTAAGAGAAACATTTAATACTAGCATTTGCAATAGTTGTCTAAAACATTATCTCCTGTTTAAATCCACCAGATTGACAGAAAAGGCAATTCTTCAATTTGTTTCAGGAACTGTAGGCATATTTGGAACTTTAATATGTACTTAAGGTTTTTTTTTTATCCTCTGTGTAATTCTCTGGTATTTCCCTAGCTTATTTAAAAACCATTAGCTTTCAGAGGTACCAGAATCTTCACAAAGGGTTTCTTTTGTTTGAGGCTGATTTTTTTGTTTGAAGTCTGTACACTCCAAATCAGTTGGAATATCAAGGAGGAAAAAAAGGTGATTGCAAATAGCCCAAAATTTTAGGATTTATTTCCAGCTGGCTTGTACAATAGATCAATATATCCCTGAAATATTAATTTTCATTAAAGACTGCTACAGCAGAAATTTAAATTCAAAACAAATTATGCAAAACATAGTAGTGACACCATTTAATAAGCTTAAGTTCTATTTCTTTTCTTATCTTTCTATTTCTTTTCGTTTCTTATTTCTTTCATGCACTAAATCAGGCAGAAATAGTCGATATATTCAGTAAAGACACATGACAACATTTTACCAAATTTTCATGCATACTCTGCATGGCAATAATAATAGAGAGAAAAGGTCAAATTCAATTCTATTTCCCACTGCATATTCTGTTGATATTTATCTCCCTTTAATATTTAGGTTAAATTACATAGTTGGTTATCTTATACCATGGAATCTTTGATAACATGAGTTATTTTCCTGCATAAATACTGACTATGATGACAATGTACCTGCAGTCATCCCACACAAGTCATTGTGTGTTCTGAATTATTGAACATAACGTTCTCCTTACAAAAGTTCTGTCAGTAGTTTTAACAGGAGAACTTATCCTGAAATGGAAGGAACATCCTCTGAATAAGGAAAAACTAAGACAGGGCTGGAACAGGCCTCAAGATCCTCAAGTCTGGCCTTCAGTAGGAAAGGAAACTCGTGTAGATAATCTCTGACCAATATAAATTTTTTTTTACTCCATACAGAATGAACTGAAGGAGGTTCCACACTCTTCCTTGGTAGGCTATTCCAGTGCTCTATGAGCCTAACCATTTAAAAGTGGTTTCCTCATTTGTTAGTAGCATCTGCAGATTATTTTCTCCTAGTACTGTTGGGGTGTGGGGGCGTAATTTACATGCTTTTATTAGGGATTTGTGTATCTTGCAAAAGAGATCATCTCTTTTTAAACTTACCAGAGTGGAATTCTTTCATGATTTTCACTGTTTTCCAAACCTGTTGGATTTCTTTTCTTCTGGATATCCTTCACATTCCCGCAAGGATGATACTTAGTACTTTACACACTGCTCCAGCTGAGAGTTTTATTCACATCAGAGAATAATAATTCACTCCCATGTGTTAAAAGCAGAACTCCTGCTACTTCATTTCAGTTTAAGACCTGCGATTTTACTCCTACAAGAAAAGAAAAAAAAGTTTATGTGACCTTTTCTTGTTCTAGACATGTGGCTGACCATCTGCTGGAAGATGCAATCCTCCACTGCAGTACCAGTGATTAGCTGGTTCATCATTCCTTAAAGTTTTTCTTGTGTTTTGCTGTAATATTTAATATATACCAAACACAGTTAAATCCAGAAATGTTCTACCTATATGCTGCATTCTAATAAGAAATGTAATTTTGAAAACATTAGATAGAGCTGTACCAAGGAAGGCTCTTTTGATTTGAGAGAAAACCGCAGAATGTGGGGTGGGGGACAGGGAATCAGCCAGTTGCACATGGACAGATCAGCAGTTTCACCTGGGCAATTTCATTATCCTCTAGATCCTATAAATTGTTTCATAATTCATTTAGAGCATGCTTTTTTCTTCCCTAGCACTGCACATTGTGCTAATTTTTTCTTCACCTAAACTACATTTTCTATACACTGTTTGTTCAGTTCTTCAGTTCCCTAGGATCTAACCTGTCCTCCATAATTTCTCAAAAGTAATTAATGATTCAAAAAGTGCCTCTTTCTTTTTTTTAAGTGCTTGAAGATAAAAAGACATTGCAGTTTCCCAATTAAAAACCACCAAGTTAATGAAAGAATCTTAAAACTGTTTTTTCTCTGCCCATATTAAAAATTAATGTGTTAGAAATCTAATTACAATGTATCTTTATTCTTCCAAAACAAATGCTTTAATGCTATCATTTGAAGACTGATGGGTGTTTTCCATTATTTCTCTAATTTTTCCATGAATCTTTTCATCTTTTTTGCCATTTAGGCAGTTTACATGGCTTGGTTCTCTGTATTATGTATTCATTTATATTATCTCTTTATTATTGTCCTTAGCCTTTCTTCTGCTCCTTCATACAATTCAGATGCAGAAAAATTATTTCTAAGCGTGCAAAAAAGTAAAGGAAGTAAAGTCATTACTGATTAAATTTGAAAACCAATGGAAGAAGGGTGAATGGCTAGGAACTCTAAAAGAGTATATTCAAAATATATTGAAAGTATAATCAAGTAATGAGGACCACAGGAAGCACTGCAGAAAAACTAAAAAGACCAGAACCAAAACCAAAGAACCAACCAGAAAAGCCAAAAAATAAAAGAGGACAAAACAAACCCAAAATAACAAAAACTCCCCAACCTCTCCATGTGCTTTCATATCCCTCCTTCTGCACTAGTATAGATTGCCATTGTTTTTTTTAACATATTCCATTTTCTCATAACATATTTAGAGAAGGTATGAAGAGAGAGCTTTATTACTTAGCCGTTTTTCCCAAGAGACCCTGCCTGTCATTTCCAAAAGACTGATTTTCCCAAGTTTATTAACTTTACTCTGCCACTCTATTCCTTTCTGTAGGATTGTGAACACTGTCATTTCAGAAACCCTTCCAACACCTTAATAGGTCACTTTAACTTCTCCCTACATTCTCCCTGTGGATTGAGAATATAACCTAAAATAGTCACATTCTGTACCTCCTCCACCTTCTGAAACAAAAGCCTAACTGTCAATGTGGCTTTACAGTGTCACTCAGGCTTGCTGTGACCTGTCAGGCTGTTTTCCCTCAATAATTGAAGTCTAACATTGTCATTAGCTTCTGTGCTTTGGATAGCTCTTTAAATTTCTCAGAATCAGACATATGACAATTGGGGAACTTCTTGTTCTTCTTATGCTTAACCAGTAACATTGTGTATTCAAGTTTGAAAAGCAGATCAAAGTCTTGATGAGCTATTGAATACAACAAATGGAAAAACCTGCAGTTTAGGTAGACAGACTTTTCCATTTTTACTTATGTTGATAGCACTTTATTCCGTAAGTAATTGCATTGATTTAGCTCATTACTCCAGGTTTAGGGATAAATAGTGCCAGAAAGAAAACTTTGGCTGAAATAATAGGGGGAGGGAGGAGAGTGTGAAATCAGTGACATGGCACTTAACTTTACATTTCTTAATTAAACAGTTCTCTCTATAGCTACAATTATGGGACTTGCAATTAAAGACTGTAAAACCACGTTAATGATTTATTCATGTATTCATACAATGAGTAATTTAAACTGCTTAGATTAAGTATTTTTAATAAAATACAAATAGAGGATGAAAACACATCAGATAAAGCAAACCAAGATGGATAGCTACTGCTATTTACGTAAAAGTATGCAGAAGCACAGTTGATAAACATGTGTGACATACAATATTTAATTAAAAACTTAATTGGGGAATACAAATGCACACTAGAGAATTCAAAGGTAGGATTTTCTTCAGTGTGACTTGACTCTCATAAGCACAAAATATAAGAGAAGAGAGATCAGCTAGGCACCAGAATTACATATATAATAGGATACACTGGAGACATTTTTGTCCTTCATTAATCAATACCTACATATAGAAAAGAAATAGAACACTGCCTAAAATGTTTGTCTAAAATAATAAATGGATTTCTAATTACTCTTTTCTCTCTATTCACTATAAAAGAAATCTAAACTAGTTTCAGAGCAGACATTAAAGTCCTCCAAATTATGATGAAATCAATCCTTAAAAAATTAACAGTTTTACGGGTGTCTTCCTCAAAGCTCACACATAAATAATAATTTCAACTCAAAAGGATAATTTCAATTGCATACCTGATATAAAACAAAAGCTGATTAAGTAGAAGTCTATGTAGTCCTAGGAATATAAAGACTTCCACTGGGTGAGCAACAGTGACGCAGCATGAAGCAAAATGCTAAGGTGCAGATGTCAGTGTAGGGAGTTGATTGAGAAAGAGAAAAGAACATGAAAAAGCCGCTGATAAATGAAGAACACTTGGTCTGAAGCCATACCTATGCATCAAGTCTAACTAGGACAGTGTAGTTTTCTGCTGCATGTGAAGATTTTGCTCACAAAGAACAGATCTCTGCTGACAGGACATGGCAACAGCCACCTCTTGGTGGCTGTCTTGCCTGAAGGCCCAGCTGACATAGGGAAAGCCTCAATGCAGTAAATGCATATACCATACCATGAAGAGGAACCATGTGTACACCGGGAATGTTGGAAGCTACACTGGTAACTTGCTCCTGCGACTTATCTGGAGCAACACGGAAAAGCAGCAGAAAGAAGGTGATTCAAAACATTTTGGGCTAGAAATTGCCTATGGGCTAATGGGTGCTCCTCCCTGTTCTCCATATTCAATAACACATTAAAACAACTTTAATGACCTACTCTGAGAGACTGAAATGTTGATTAATGGCTTAAACATTGTTATAAAGGACTTTTTTGCCCATTATGACAGAAGCTGTGACCACCAAAGCCTACCCTTGCCTGGATCTGCCTCCTCTCTGGAACTTCGGACTGTGAATTAAGCCACCTATGGGAACTTGAGATAAAAGTGTCACTATTGTCCAATTATCTCAGGTCCGGGAAGAAGTAAACAAGATTGAGGAAGAAGACTGTATCCACAAGAAAGCCACACCCAGCAGCTGTCCCGAAAATCATCTCTGGCTGGGTTCAGGGTGGGGGAGTCCATAGCCCACAGGCTCATCTTCTAAAGACAGGTTTGCTTATACTTCCCCCCAACCAAGATGGGGGAGATGATGTTGTGTAGGGGACTGTTTGAACTATCTATCAGAAGTAAATAATATTTTCTTATTTTCAGTCCTGGACAGCAGAACTTAGAACAGATAATATTCAGAGCACAAAGTAGTGAGCTAATCATCATTAAGAGTACACTCAAAAGCGGGGCAAGGGAGCAAAGCAATTGTGTGAGAATTTATAAACATCTTCCGTTAATGAAGCCGTTGGAACTTGTTGCATATGACAGAAACAAGGGCCAAGTTAAATCCTTTTTATTTTTTAAGGTCTTAGAAGTAGGGAATATTAATATTGACAGACATTTGAAGAATAATAGGGCTATTTAAGAAAATGTTTCCCTTAGATTCATACACACAGACTTTGCATTGTGCATAATACGTAGAGGTAGAACACATTAATGAGCTGAGACTGGTATTTAAGACAGTCATCAGCTTTCACTGATACAACCACACTGTTGAATCTAAATTTCAATAAAAACCAAAAAAAAAGCATACTTAGCCTGTACTAAAGTATCTACTAAAGCCATCATATTTTCACTGCATGATCAAGTGCAGCACAGAGATCCCTGACTTAGCAGAGTCAAAGGCACTGTGTTGACAGTGATTCAAACAGGCACTCTTAACAACTTGTACTGAAGCTAATTACACCTTTAAGAGGCAATACCACTTGTGACTCTTTAGGATGTGTATTTCTACAATCTCTTTTGGAGTAAACCTCAAACCAGGCATCTACAACATCCAAATCTGAATGGCAAAATTAGAAGATCCATAGAAAACAAGAAGCTTAAATACTTTTTGCCTGCTACTATCAGCTAAATTCAGAGCATGTTTCAAATGCAGACTGCTTTTTAAGTCTCAGCTAAATTCCACCTCAAATGCGGACTGCTTTTTGAGTCTCAGATAAATTCAACCTCATAGTACAGTTATATTGAGACCTACCAAAATAAAACACTCCACTTCCAAGTGAACTTAAATAGTCCAAATTTAGAATTCTGTGGATTTAAATTGCTGACAGAACTTTGAAAATAAGAAGAAAAAAAAAAAAGAAAAAAAAATATAGTGGACATCAGTGCAGTTACTTTGCATACACAACTACCAGACATAAATGCACTCTTTCAAATTTACTAGTAATCAAACCTGAAGCGGGGTATCGATACAGGCTGAGGGATGAAGGGATGGAGAGCAGCCCTGGGAAGAAGGACCTAGGATTAATAATGGATAAGAAGCTGGGCATAGACCAGCAATGGGCAGTATCAGCCCAGAATACCAACATACCTTGGGCGCTGCATCCAAAGCAGTGTGGCCATGGGGGCGAGGGACGTAATTCTTCCCCTCTGCTCTTCTCTGGTGTAATCCCACCTGGAGTGCTGCATCCATCTCTGGAGTCCCAGCACAAG